CGCCCGGCCGCCGCCCTCGCCGGTCACCTGTTCCTCCCTGGCCGGGCGCCGCGCGGAGGCCTGGCCGGCAGAGGGCCCCGTCGGTCCAGGAATCCGGCCCAGCGGGGCAGGGAGAGGCCGCTGGGCCAAGCAGCCCTGCAGGTGTATCCTGTTCTCAAAGAAAATAAAATATTTTCATGGGAAACTTTCCCTTTGTGTTTTTCTTTCTGCTGCTTTCTTCTGTCCGTTCCTCTCTCTTGGGTTGGCTTCCAGGGTCAGCGCAGGGTCTCGGTCCCTGGGGTCCCCATCTGCGCCCTCTTAGGGCAGGTCGGGGAGGGTCTGAGGCTGTGGCCCCTGCCTCCCCAGAGTGGGCAGGAGGCCGAGGGTGGCCGTCTCGCCACAGGTCCCTGTGAGTCACAGCTGTGTGGCCGCCAGCTGTGCCTTGCTGTCTCTGGCCCCTGACACACCCCGGCTCGTCTGGGGGCCTCTGCTCCTGTCCTGGGGCCCCGCAATTCAACTGCTGTGGGTGAGGAGGGGGCTGTCCCGGGGCAGCCTCTGAGCTTGCATCCTGCAGGCCTCTGGAGTGTTGTCTGAACGTGCGCTCTGGTTCTCCGGCAGCGTGGACTCTAGCTGCTGGCTTTGCAGGTGCAAGGGTATCTGGCTTGTGGCTTCTTGTCAGCCCCTCTGCCCACTTCTTTGGCCGCAAAGGACCCCTGAGGGCTGCTTCCCTGGGGACAGCCGGCCGTGCTGGGGACTCAGGTAGCCAGGACGTGGATGGAGCAGGCCTGGGTGCCTCCTAGAGCCAGCTTCCCTCTGGAATCGATTCCAGAGGGCTGGCCAGAGAAGGAAGTAGGGACCCGAGTTGTCTTGGGGGAGGACGGCTCCGCACCCTGCAGGGCCAGGCAGGGCCTGAGCTGGAGGGGCCCGGGCAGGGCAGTGCTGTGGGTGCAGGTTGTGCTGAGGCTGAGGAGAGGGAGGGAGAAGGGGTTGGAATCTGGGGCTCTCCTCTCCCTTCCCCCTCTCTCTCCACAGCCCTGCCTGGCACGGAGGCTCCCAGGCAGGAACGCGGCTCCAGTTACAGCCCAGGCACCGGGAGGGGAGAGGCTGGCCCCGGGGAGGGTCACGTGGCCCCCGGAGCCCTCCCTGCCCCCTCGCCGGCTGCAACCCAACCCTGGCCCACTCAGGCTGCCCTGCCCTCCTTGAGGCCTCTGGACACCCCATGGCCAGACCCCTCCAGGGTGGCTGCCAGCCGAGGGGCAGGGGCCGCCTCTTCTCCTCCCCTGGCCAGCTCGGCATCCTGCCTGCTGAGCAGGTGTCATTGCCATTGGGTTCTGTAGTGGCCAGCGAGGGGTAGAGGGGCACAGGAAGGGGCCAGCTCAAGGTCGGGGCATGAGGCACAGACCCAGGCCCGTCTTTAGGAGGCTGTGAGGCTGGCCTCAGACTTTGGCTCCCCTGCCCAGCCTCTCTGGGGGTCCTCGAGGAGAGAGGGCACAGATGTCTGGGCTGCCCCTGGTGGGGCCTGGGCACCTTGCAGCCCTTCCTTTGGAATCCTGTGCAGCTGGAGCCGGCCCCCGGCACAGGCCCGGGGCTTCCAGCTCCGTTTCTTTAAAAGGCCTCGGAAGGCACCGTCGTAAAGCCTGGGCCTGCGCTTTGGTTTTGGCATGTGCATTCTTGTTGCTCAGGAAACATCTGCAGGCCACTCCGGGAAGACTGAGAGTGGAAGCCGCGGCCTGCCGTGGGGCCTGTGGGCTGCGGCCTCTGTGGAAGAGGCCCGTGTCTCCCAGCGCAGCCCTGAGCCACGGCAGCCCCTCACGTCGGTGCAGGGACCGTGGAAAGGCCAGCGCGGGGCACTTTGGACCCCAGGGATGGTCCCAGCCGAGCGGCATTAGGGCCTGCAGAGCTACTGCTCAGAACTCACGTCCCAGCCAAGTCCCCGGCTCGGTGGTTTTGGTGCATTCACGGGGCTGCGCAGCCATCACCACTATCTAATTCCAGAATACTTTCCTCATCCCAGAAACCTCATACCCGTTAAGCACTCGCTCTCCTCCAGGCCCTGGCAACCGCTAATCTGCTTCCTGTCTCCATGGATTTTCCTCCTCGGGATGGGTCGTGTAAACAGAATCATACGCTGCTGCGTGGCCTTTGTGTCTGGCTGCCTCTGCTCAGCCTCGTTTCTGCGTCTCAGCGGGGCTGCAGCGTGCGTCCGTGTAGCGTTCCTTTTTATGACTGAACAGACAGCAGTTAAAAAACCATTTGGCAGTGGAGGGGTCCCGGTTGTTCTCACCGTTCAGTTGTTTTGAATCGTGTTGTGAGCCTTGGTGGACACTTTTCCTGCGCAGATGTGAGTTTCCAGTTCTTTGGGGTTCACACCTAGACGTGGGATTGCTGGTCACCGCCCGGATGGCTGTGTGGCCACTTGGGCAGTGGTGCCATTTCTGCTCCTACCGGTAGGGCACAGGCCTCCTCTAGTTCTCACCGAAGCATGCCTTCTCCCCTTGTTCTGCCTGCCCCTGTGGGTGTGTGGAGGTGAAGGGGTCCCCTTGTGGGTTTTGTGTGTGTCCCGGAGGACTGGTGACCGAGCACCTTCCTGAGGCTCCCTGGCCGCGCGCGTTTTCTCTGGAGGCCGTCTGCTGGGTTCCTGTGCCTGTCTTTTGGTCCGGTTATGTTTTCGTTGTTGAGCTGTGAGGGCTGTTTCCATATCCTGTACCTCTGCCTGCTTTGGGCTTTCCCTGGCGAATGTGCCCCCTCCCAAGCCTGCTGCAGCCCATGGGTATGGGCAGGCCCCCACCACCCAGCACAGCTCGTGAGGGGCCATGCCACGGGCCACAGGGAGCGCAGACCAGAGGTGCCTTCGTTGTGCCTGGACCCCAGACCCGTGTATGTGTGGGCGCGGGGCCGTCCCCATTTGTGAGGGCCTTGTGTGGGGCTGTTCGGGGTGCTCAGGGCACCAGAGAGGAGGCTGCTGCCCGGGGCGCGGATTTGCTCTTTCCTGTGCTGGTGCCGGTGTCAGGGCGGGGTGGCTGCACCCTGGCCCCTCATCTGCCTGTGTGCAGATCCTGGGGTCCAGCTTCAGACTCCCTGATCTGACAGCCATGCGGATGGGGCACTGGGTGGGCCCTGGAAGATAAGCCTGGGCAGAGTCCAACAGGAGGGTGGCGTGAAGGCTGAACCTGCCATACTGCACGATGGATGGCAGAGGCCTGAGGTGGTACAGCTATGCCGAGCAGGCGGGTGCCAGGGAATTGGGGCTGGGGCAGACTGGACAGCCAGGCCTGGGCTAGGACTGGCAGTGGGCAGGTGCCGTGTGCAGACCCCCAGCTCGGATGACCCAGTGAGCACACGGGCAAAGGGCAAGGGGTGGACCTCGGCAGGGTGGCTGTGGTGGGTGCCGCAGGCCCAGGGGGCCTCTCGGAAGCTGCCCTGCACCAGACGCCCAGCAGTGGGTGCTGAGCAAGCTCTGGGGGTCCAGAGGAGGGGACATGGGGTAGGCACTCCTCCATGTGTCCAATCAGGAGGAGGAGGATGGGGTGGCATGGGCAGGCATGGACAGGTGCAGGAGCAGAGTGAGGGTGATCCTGACCCCCACGCAGCCCCACTGCCCCTGTATTTCTGCCCTGGGCCCCGGGGCAGGCCAGGACCAGACGCCTGGGCTGTCCAAGGCCCACAGGAGAGAAACAGGAGTACCGGTGGCCATGTGGTAGGATTTGAGGTGAAGTGGAAGCAGGCCCCACCTGGCCCCACTCAGCTGTGTGCGCAGATGTCCTGCCCACAGCCGGCAGCCGTCTGGACAAGAGACAGCTGGCCTAATCTTGCTCCTGTCCCCACCACATACTCTGCCTCCTGCTGCGTGGCTCAGGTGCCCGCCTGCATAGACCCCGTGGGTGCCCGCGAGTGCCTGGGTGGCCTGAGGCAGGGCTCCTCCTGCCTGCGCCTGTGCCCTGCTGCTGGCATCTGGCCTTCATGGGTTCCTCTCCTGGGAAAGGCTGCCCAGGACCGGCGGGTGGGGGTGAGGAGTCCGTGAGATGGGCTCAGGCAGCCGGGCTTCCTGGCTCTACCTGTCCCCAGGGCCTCAGAGTTTCCCTGTGGCCCGTGGCATGGCCTCCTCCCGAGCTGTGCTGGGTGGTGGGGGCCTGCCCATGCCCATGGGCTGCAGCAGGCCTGGGAAGGGGCACCAAACCAGGCTGAGGCACAGGATGTGGGAAACCCAGGTGTCCTGGGCATGGCAGAGGGAGGTGCAGGTGCCCAGCTGCTGTGTGACCCTCACCTACCCCAGGCCTCCCATCCCGCAGAGCCTCCCTGGGCAGCCCAGGCATGTGGCTGTCCCCAGTGGTTCCCCTGGGCAGGAGCAGACAGGTCCCCAGTCTCCCCTGCGCTGCTCACTCGGAGCTCCCGTCAGCCCAAGGCTGGGCAGCCTCTGCCACCTTGCCCATCCAGGTGCTTTCATCTTTAGTCAGGGACGTGTCCTGGCATGGCCCTGACTTCAGCGGCCACACCTGCTGGACATGGCCCAGCGGAGGCCTGACCTGCTCTGAGCTCACAGCCCCTTGCTGCCTCCCATGTGGGCCAGGTGCCGAAACCCTGGAGCCGCTGAGGGAGGACCCTCTGTGTAGGGTCCTGCAGGGGTGAGCCCAGAGGCGTGGCTGTGGCCTGAGGCGGCCTGGTGGCAGGTGCTGGGGACAGCCTCACAGAGCCCGCAGTGTGGGTGGCATGGGGTGTCCTTGCTGTGTGACCCGTGGGCCTGGCCCCTCCCAGCAGGTCCCTGCTGGCTCTGCGCCGCTGCCCGCCGGAGGAAACCCAGATGCCTAGCTGGCAGCCTGGCACGGTGGGCCTGGCCGTGACCGGCAATGGAAAAGGCCAGCCGCAAGCTGCGTTTGTTTTTCTTTGTGATACCTGAGGTCGTAGCAGCTAGGGGAAGTGGGCTGGAGGTCTGGCCAGTGGTGAGGTTCCTGGGGCCTGAGGATGTCAGGCTCAGCCTTGTCTGGCAGACGGAAGTGCAGGAGGCAGGCCGAACCCAGTCACTGCATGGGCTGGGCACCAGAGGAGGGGCGGCAGGGAGGAAGATGGCATGAGGTGGTGCTGACCCTCAGAGCTGCGCAGGGCCTGCTAGGCCAGGGGCTGTGGTCACCAGGCACGCGGTGGCTTCTCCTCAAGGCCCGGGAGTGCCCTAGAGCTGGGGTGCATGTTGGCATTCCCGTGGGCCCAGGACCCTGGGCGGCGGCTGGCCAGGGTGGTGCTCCCTCTGCCCAGGTGACCCCTGTCACCCAGCCTCCCGGGCTGCACCCAGTTAGGGGTTCTGGCTACGAGCGGTGCCCTCCCTCACAGCATGTGTTGCCTGCCTTGTCCCCTGCAACCATGGTGCCAGTGTGCTAGGCTTGGACACAGGACGGAGCCATGGCACTTGGGCCGTGGGAGGACACAGGGTTAATCTCAGCCCTGGTTCTCAGCTCTGGAATTTGTTTTGATTCTGTTTCACACAGAAATTAAATGCTTTCTGGCAGGGCTGAGGCTCTGTCAGTGGGGTGCTGGCTTCTGGAGCAGCAGCCTAGACTCCCTGTGCCCCACCCTGGGGACAGTGGGAGGGGACAGGCCCCTGTGCATGTGCCCTGACAGTGGAAGGGGCTTGTGGCACTGGCACACTGCCCACCTGTCAGACAGGAGCAACGCTGTGCAGGAGCAAGAATGCCCCGCTGCCCTAGGGACGTGTGTGTGGCTGGCTGGCACGCGGGCAGCCTCCAGCCCAAGCAGCCGCAGCCTGGGAGCCTCAGCCTTCGGGGGACTCCCTGCGCGGCTCGCCTGGGGCTCTCTGGCTCCCTCTCTGCGGGCTGTGCATGGGGCGTGGAGCCCCAGCAGCCACCAGGACCTAGGGAGGTGCCCCTGTGACCCACCGTGTGCCACCTCCCAGAGCCGGGGCGACACTGTTCCCTGGTGCCGTGCCATGACGGGGCTGCCTGCCAGAGCCCGCTTCCATCTCTCCTGCTGCCCTCCCTGCCCTCCGGTCCCTGCCCCCTGCTCCTGGCAGGGGGTGCCCTGGGGTGCTGATGGGTAGCCGTCCGAGACACTACATGGGCTCCTCACGGCCAGCACTGGCCATGGGCTGCTGGGGGACGGGCCAGGTGAGAGGTCAGTCTGGCCGTGTGCCTCAGGTGTGTGACCCCAGCCTTAGCACCTGGTGGCAGTGTCCTGCCCGTGTGTGGAACTCGTGGCCCCTGCTAGGTCAGGCACTCAAGTGACTGAAGATATGGACACGTCTGCAAGGGTGGACACTGGTTTGCAGTCATGAGGCCACTTGGCCTGGACGTCCTGGCTGGACACCAGTGCTGGGCATGTGGATGCACATGGGATTGTACAGGTGCCTGTGTGTACATGTGTGTGTGCCTTTGTGCATGGATATTACAGATGTGTTCATGTGCATGCACACACGTGTGTGTTTCAGTGTGGACCTTTAGGAGCCTGTGGGGCTGTGGGTTTGTATGGATGTCTATGCCCGGGTATGTGCGTGCACGCGTGTGTGTGGTATGGGTGAGTGCGTAAATATATACACGTTCAAGCACACATGTACACGTAGTGTCCGTGTGGATCTGTGGGGTGTATCTGTGTGTCTGAGTGTGTCCCAGCTTCGACCCCAGGGTCTCGGGGCCAGAGCATATCTGCTCTGTCCTCTCCGTGGGTGGGTGGCCACTGGCCTGGCGGGCCTGCTTGTTCTGGGTGCTCTGCATCAGGCCACCCACGGAGGGCTGCACATGTGGCGCACATCAGTGACCTGGGGCTGCTGTGCCCTGCGCAGAAAGAACTGACCACACCGGGGGCGCAGCCTGGGCTCCCGGCTCCCCGTGACACTCCTAGCTACTGCAGCTGTGCCCGCTCCGCCTGCTCTCCTATGGCCTGCTCTCGTGGGCTCTGTGTTCTCGTCCTTCGAGGGGCACGAGGGACTGGGTAGGACCCCACATGTGCCAGGCAAGTCCTTTCCCAGGAGCTACACCCAGCGCCTACCTTTTCCTTACAAGGGCACGGTCACTTCGCTGGCTTTTATCCCGTCCAGGCTGGCCTCGCCTGAGCTCCCACCTCTGTTGTGCCTGCAAGGACCTTTCCTTCCCCCTGAGGCTCTGGAGGGACGTGTGTTTCCTGGAGACACGCTTGACCCATGGCTGAGGTTTAGTCTGCTTCAGATTATTACTGCCAGCGGTTTTGCAGACGCTGTGGCCAGCACGTGGTCAGGGATAATAACCAGGCGCGCGTGGAAACGTGGCCTCCGGGACCCAACCACAGAGACACGCAGGAGACAGCACCACATGTGTAGGAAACAGCTCTTTTTGCTGTGCTCAGAGAGGGCTGGCAGCAACA